TAAATCTGCCAGTATCTGATTCTTATCTAGATATATAACATATCTATAGCTTACTATATGCTTTCCTTATATATAATTTTTCGATCTATTTGAGAAAATGGTGATATCTGTGACTAATAGATTTTCCCACTAGGTTCTGAAGGCTTTTGCTGCTGTTTTCTTATCAATCCCTTTTGTAAGATCTGTTCTGCAGTCAGGTGTGTACCTTGATAACTCGAGTATAGATCTCGGGATTAATGGGATAAGGAGACCGAGTCTTTGGATCTTGGTTTTCGCTCTTTGTTTTGTGCCCGATCTTTATTCTTTGATAATCATAAAGAGTTCGATTCTTTTTGTAAATGGGTGGGTTTTGTTTACACTTTGTAAACATAAGGCAAACCTTAGTTTAGCCTTCTCGAAGACTGTTATAGCTGAGGGGAATCTTGCTTTGCGATAGAGAGCTGTCATTAGCGTAGTTTTCCAGACTAGTATAACTCCTTGTATCATTGTTATAAAGATTTTCTTAATTTGTATCATATACTAATCTAGGCGGGCACTGGTCTGCATTTGTATTTATCCAGACCTGGATTTTCGTATAGCCTTGAATCTTCCTCTGTATCAGGCCTTTATTCTATATAGAAGTAAAGGTAATACATATATTGTCATTGCCTTATACATCGAATATATTGGGGAGCTTTGCATAACCTTAACTAGACTTTATATATGTTTTGTCACTATCCTGGCTTTACTTATATATTCTATAATATATCTTCAGAAATTCATCTTTCGATCAAACCACATTCCTAGCTATTTCAGTATTGGACAGATGTTTGTTTCTGTAACTATTATCGATTGATTGATTGATTGATTGATTTAATTTACGTCCATCTTCAGTCTAAGACTATATAGGACGGCTAGACCCTATAGGCACTAGCAGATAACTTTTTATTTTACAAAAATAGTTGTAACTATTATCGAATGAATCGTAAGTTTCTTATTCACTTTGATAATCGATACTACATTACCATTTCTTGTAGAGATATATATCATTTCCAGTTTCTCTGGAACAAAGATAACACAATTGTTTATTCCCTATTCTATAATATCTTGGATATCTTTAGCAAAAAGTCTGATGTTTTTTTTCCAATGTTTTAGATACTTTATATAGGCATATATTGTTTATATACCCGAATCTAAGGATAGTATTTCCTAACAGTAATTCCGTTAGATACAGTATATAAAGGACTAAAGAGAGGGGGGAGCCTTGTAGAGTTCTGTAGACTATTGAATACTCCTTGGTTATAACTTGTTCGAATCTAACTCTGAGTTTCTTTTTTGTTAGAAAGAAGTTAACTAAAAGAAAGAGGTTTTTGGGCTAATTTTGTTCTGTTATTCTAACTAGGAGTTATCTTTTAAACAATATATCGAATACCCTTTGTATATCCATAGTAACTATGATTACTTCTTTTCCTATTGATAATATTATTTCTATATTATATATAAAGGATACCACTAGATCCATTATAGAATGTTTGGATAAGGCCTCACCGTGTTGAGAACTGATGATACTGTATTTTAGGGCTGTTTAGCCTATACATTTGGCAATTATTCTTTCTAGCCCTTTTCCTATACAAAAGAGTAGAACTATAGATCTCCATGACCTTGCGGATATCATATCTCTTTTGCCAGTTTTGGGCAATATAGCCATTTCAGCTAGCTTCCAGGTTTTCGGGAAGTGGCTATATTCAAGACACTTTTGGAAAAGTTATTTTTAATAAGTCTTTGAAATGTTCTTAGCAGGCTTTGAGGAGTCTGACTGTAACTCGGTCAGTTTCTAGTGATATATTGGATACCCTGATAACATTTGTTTCGACTTCTTTTATTGTAATATAAGAGTTCCAGGGTAGCAATCTGTTTCCTTTCTATTAGTCTCCTAATAGATTGTACTCCAGATCGTTTTCCGTATTAAACCAGTCCAAAACCTCTATCCTGAGTATTTCGGCTTTTTCCATCGAATTCTCTATTACTACTCCGTTAGAGATGATTGGAAGACTCTTAAAGTTTGGGACTAGTTTGTACCAGCCTATTATCTTGTATAGATCTTTGTCGTTGGAGATATTATCTATGATATACCTCCAATAATTGCATTTAGCTATTCTAATTGTTGTTTTGAATTCTTTTGTTGCTATGGTAGGGGGTTGTTCTAATATAGCTTGTTTACGCAAATATTCAGTATAAGCCCTTTTACACTCTAATATCCATTAGAGTATTGTTTTGCCTTTTCCTCTATCCTTGATCCCTACTGTTTCGATTACTCTTGTAATTACTTAAATCAATTGTTTCGCGAAATAATCTATTCTCTGTGAAAAGTCTAAGAAGTTATTTGGAAGCATATATATCACTTTGTTAACTACTAATTCTGTCAATTTCGGTAATTCTGTTTCTGGAATACGGATGTTGTACTGATCAAGAGATTTGAGTCCTCTACCTGGGATAATTGTTACTAGAATAGAGTAGTCCGAACTACTATATAGATTATATTATATTTTGGTTTCCGCAAATAGTATATTGGAAAAGGTAAAATCGAGTATATTTCTACCCAAGTGAATAGATACTTTTTGTTCTCCAATATAATCCAGTTCAACTAGTTCTATCCAGGCTGCTAGTTCGTGTTCTCCATTGATACTTTCCACTTCAGGTTGCTATATTTCGTGTCTAGTATTGAAATCGCTTTCAATGAGATACCCTGGGGGTGGTTGTAGTCCAGTGATATATGTTAACATCTGCTCTGTTCGAGGTGTCTGGTATATATTTAATATAAAGTGTCCATTTATATCTATCCAAAGTATATCGCAACTTTTGATCAACTGTCTTTGTTGAATTCATAGTTTTGTACCTTTTCTGATATACATCAGTACTCGGGATCGCTTTGCTTCTCTTTGTTCGAGGGATATTCCTGTTTATAAATCCATTGGTGTATATAAAATCTATTCAGAATATGTTTTAGTTTTTGTGAATAGGAATGTGAAGGGTTCCTGTATATATAGGATATCTGATTTGTCTTCAAATACCATTTGTAATAAGGTGTTATAAACCTCTGATATTCTGCCTACATTCGCCTAGCAGATTGTTAGATCCTATATTTTGGATTGTTGTTGATTATATATATCACCTTATTATATCAGGTTTCTACTTATATAAATCGGGTTGAAGGATTCCTCCCATCTTAATGTTTTGTTGACTGTTAGCAAGAGTTTTTTTATTAAGGTTTATGTTGATGGTTGGTTTCTGTTTTAGTTGATTTGATGCTGTGGTTCCTTTTTTGAATTGGGTTGTTGTTGGGCTGTCCCTACTTTTTTCGTATACAGTGATTTGTGTTCCCCGGCGTTTTAATGTTGGGGTAGGTGTAGGTATAGATATGGCTGTGTCTGGGGTAAGCTTTTCCTTAGGGTTGTTCTTTAATTTCTGGTTGGCGAGCATTGCTGCTTTTATTGCTAGAGCCGGTTTTCGTATAGCCTTGAGTTGTGATTTGGTAAATATCATGACTTTATTGTTCACTACTTTAGGTGTTGCTAGGCAGTTCTGATATTTTATTGCGAAAGGTTCAAAGCAGTTAGTATATTATACTTTTGTTATACAGTTGGGTCCTTGTAGATTCTTGTATACATCTTTTCGAATACCACAATTTGTATAACGGGTAAGCCTGGTATATCTTGTTGGATTATATTAGCTTTAATAGCCGATGTTGTATCGGGTTATAGTGGGTTTTGCTTTAATCTTCTATACCAGTTTGCTAGTGTTAAAGAGCCTAAAACCGTGGACTGGTTCAAGAAAGGATATTATTCACATAATTATGTTATTGTAGAGGTTGGCTTTGTGTTGGGAGGGTTTATAGTTGATTGGGGATTAGTCTGTCTATGCCTGTACCTCTGTTTCTATGTGATTCGCAGTGTCGGCTAGGAGTCTATCCAGTGTATATATCGATGCTGGGATTCTGGGGATTGCATAGTTGTACCATATTACCGATTAGTGTACTTGTATGCCTCGGCTGATTCGAAGGATGATTTCCTTATTCTTTTGTATAAGGAATAGTTCGTAGATTGCTGGATTCTTTGGTGTGATAGTCTATTCTATCTTAATGACAGATATAGTGGGGATATCAGCTAATATTAGACCCATGATAATCCTAATGAGAATGTTTCTTAGCATATATAAAGCTGGTTTACTGATCCGGACTACAGGGTTGATAACTATTAATAATCTATGATCTGTGCTCCGGGCGGTTTGTATCGTCCATTGTTTGGCATATGCATTATTAGGTGGAGCCTTTGATAGGGCCTTTTGAGATATGGGTGAGTTCTTTTGGCCTGCTCCGTTTTGGTTTGTTTTGGGGGTCTTGAGGATCCCTACATAGGTTTTTGTAACCTATGTTTTTGTAGAAGCTGTGCTTCTTATTGCTAATGATATATATAATAGATTTGATAATAGATCGGATCCGTTGTTGATAATGTATATAAGGATTTCTATGATTTTGGTACTCAATTTCTTGGCTATAGTTTGTTTATCCTCTGTAGTGAAGAAATCAATGTATCTGTCAATTGCATCTACCAGACCAATCATGACCTTACACTGAATTCTTTCAGCGTGTTCATACTCAACGAGTTTGGCTTTGAAGGTCTTTATCGCTGGATTGGTGGTGTTGGTATTTGCTTTATTTCCCAGTTTGAAGATTGGTGGTATTTTGTTGGTGAAAATACATTGTCTTCTCTTAAAGCGGTTTTTGAGATTGGAGGGTGTTTCTGGGGCCTGCGGATTGGTGAAATTCGCGTTTTCTAGATCGATAACCTTGGGTGACACTGTGTGAGACGCTATGTTAACTCGTAGAGAATAGTATATATTGTATATATTGTTATAACTCCGTAGAGTTTTGAATTCAGACCGAAATTCAACTCCTGGCGACCAGAAATTTTTCTTCGGAATATTGTGTTTGGGTGCCATTGGATAGTAGTGAGGATGAAGCGATGATAGCTCGACTTCTAGATTTGGGTTTCGAAGATTCAGATGTCGATAATGACGATGTTTCCAATGAGTTGGTCATTTTAAACGACGCCAGAGTTATATCAGTCAATCGGTTGGCTGACATCGCACAAGAATCTCAAATCGACCTTCAGCAACCAATGGCAGATGAGCCCGAGGATGTTGAGATGGTGGGTGTGAATCTCGATTCTATCTAAAATCAAAATTCGGAAAAGCTTCTTCAAGGATATGAGAATGGTTTATGGAGCTTGGTACAAGCTGCATTCGACTTGACCGGCTTGCCTGATGACAAGTGGGTGCAGAAGAGAAAGGAATCTGGTTTGTGGAGTCAACTTTTGGTTTCGTTCATGTTCATGATCGCTGGAATTGATTCGAAGATTCTTGAACATGTTGTTCGTGGAGACTTACCGAAAGCCTTACTCGAGCCTGAAAATTAAGTTCTACGAACAAAGATGATTAAATTGGGGTCGGGAGATAAGAAGAAAGCTAGACCTTACATCTACATTCATTACTTGGTCAACTCCGAAGGTAAGTCTTCCACTCCTAATGAACTGAAGGTAATATTGTTGGATATACAGACTTATCTTCGAGGACACGGCAATGCCAACGATCGACAATCTCAAACTCTCTCGGAAAAGATAGATGGTGCTATCGAAGCCAAGGACTCACTCTATCGCTTAGGACAACGAAGATACGTGGAGTCACCATCTTGGCATGATAACATATCGAAGTTCGTCAAGGCACTTGGGACAAGATTGGAATTCGAGATTAGTAATGGTCACGGTGATGAGCCATTGGACCGTCCCATCACTGAAGTCGGATACGCTCAAAGTCTCGAACGACTCGAAAGTCACCGAAAACATAGATCTTCCAACTACATCATGAATTTGACGGAGGCTGTCTGCAAGGTTCGCTTCCCTAGAAAGTACAAGAACGAGCAGTACATCATCTTCAACTTGATGGAACCATCTGATGGAATGTATGGGGAGATATTATGCACGAGATTCGCTCAGGGTTACATTACAAATGGTGGAGGATTCTCTCATGGCGCTGCTGGAATTCACGTACACTCTAGTAGGATACTAGGTGACGAGGTCTGGTCGGAAGCAAGACAGGAAGCACTCAAAGAAGAAACACTTCAGAAGAACGTCAAGGAAGAAGTCATAAGGTTGAAGGAGAGGAAGGAGAAGTACGATGAGCTTATGTCAACTGCGAAGTATATGGTGGAATAGACCAAGAGGTTGACTGGTTTGAAGGAATTATATGATCAGAAACTTGCCGAGGTGGAGAAGGCTAAACGCAAACTCGCGGCTCAGAGAGCAAAATATTTAGCAGATACCCAGGCAGTGGCTAACTTCATAGAAGCCATCAAGAAGTGATCAAGCATGCATACAAGGATGAATAATCATGAAATGGTTTTGAGCTTCCAAGTTTTCTCCATGACTTAGTGATGAACATTGGAATGTTATTTTGGTGATTCTTTTAGTGAAGCTTTAACATTTCGATCCCCCGGGATTCCACACGGTGCTAATAATCAGTATATTTCAGGGCATTGGAGTGATCAAGGACCAATAACTTCCCATGAAGCTACATTATTAATTAATCCCTATAGGTACTCATGAAAAGTAATTGACTGAGAAGAATCTAGCCTCTCAAGTTCAAGGTTCCGCGCAAGAGGCTAGACACGACACATCCTTTTCGATTCTCAAACGCATGAAATCGCATTTACGATTAACTCAGGAGAGGTTTTGAAAGTTACCGTACTCATATAGACAAGACGGATAGACTAAATGGCATAATACGAGTTTACAATGAAACCTCAAGACATTATGGAAACTCCTAGACGTTCCGAAATCCGCAACCATAAATAGCCTCGAGTAGCACTCATGAACAAGAGGTATCCGGATGTAGTAGTGTCCAGTTCGGCGAATAGATATGCGAGCCATACCCTCAGCCTGCTGTGAATGATTCTTTAGTCCGCATACTCTCCATTCACCCATCTTGATCCTACTAGTCACCTCCAAGATCCTATTCAGCCTCTATATATAACTCCGTAAACTTCGGGATTATAGAAGGCAAAGCTGTGATATATTATCTTACTTGGATAATATTTTGACACCGCAGCAGTGAATCGAATCAAATTCCCCACTTTCCACTCCTTTGTCACTACTGACACCAGCTTCAGCCAGATCTAGCTCAAACACATACATTCTCTACTTATAAGCCCCTTCAACCTCTCACATTCCGAATATTGAGTTAACAAGTATATCGTTCTATTCAATCACCAAATGTTGCCGCTGATCGTAACGAACACGCCAATAAATAGGAGCAACCAAATTAGACAAGCCCTTCCATGACACAAATGTAGTTAGATGACGGCAACTTTGTTACATGAGAAGATACAGTGACAGCAGTGAAAGTGTGAAAGTAGCAAAGCGACAGTTTAATAAAGAACAATAAAAACAAAATAGCAAAAGCGACAGCGACAGCAGTGGAGAACTCGAGGTCAGATGAAAGAGAATGAAAGAAATGTACTTGAAGTAAAAAAGAAAGTGCAGCGGAGTGATATTATAACATATTGTGCCAGCAATTCTGCAATGTATTAAAAAGTTATTGTATATTGTTTGATCCTTCTAATAGTGTCAAACTTCTCTACTTCAGAAGATTTGATCCATTACATACTTCATATATGCACTGCCTTGGAGATTCACTATTTTCGGTGGACCGTACACACTAGCCTAGCTAGCTCCATGTCAATGTCAAATGAAACCTCCAACATCTTATCCGGTCTTTAATTACAGCACCGGTTTCCCCTATATTGAACGGCAAAGTATTGATATCTATTGATTATAACCTGACTTAGTGTGGTCTTGCGACCAAGAAGGGGACCAAGGAGGAGCTCTGTAGTTTGTAAACCAGCTTGTCTACTAATAAATATGGTATCATGAAATATATTGTAGGCGAGTCAAGTCGACAATGTAAAGAATGCGGCGGGACAGGAAGGGATGGGATAATAGGGCTTTAAAAGACAGCAATAGCAAAAGAGAAAATAGGGCGATGGATAGATGGAGAGATGTATAGATGACAGCTGTGAGAAAGTTCATATGGGACGAGAATGGAATTGTATCTATAGATGAGATACATCCAGTTATGCAATGAAAATTACATTGTTACATTGACCGAGTGGCATTGAACCACAGCGCATATAGTCTTGTTTCTCTGTTTAGCGTTCTGCTCCAACTCCGAAAATCAATCTCAATTCAAAGCTTTATATACCCATCACAGGTATCATTTTCAAGGCTTTAGATTATTATTTAAATTACTAGCACTGGCCGCTTGGCGTTCATTTCATCAGTCCATCACCATCCACCCTCTTCGAAGTACCGGTATACTCTTCCGACATCCCATCCAAAATCAATATATAATCGATATTAATTTCTAATCTACTAGTATTCTAGTCATGGATATTGCAATCAAGTAACCTGCCAACCATCATGTGCCGATTTAATTACTCGCCTTTGAAAACCTGCAGTCCTGAGCCAAGATATTAGTAAAGCACCTCGCTTCGCAAAAGGCTGGAGTGGCACTGCCAGCTGCCATTAAGAATCCCCGCCATCGCCACATCACCGAGCTGGCTGTCGCGCGCAAAGCATAGTTGTTACATAGTTATTACAGGTATTATTGACAGGAAGTGCCGGATGAAAATATGGTAGAAGGACAGCAATGGAAAGGTATTCAAGTTGACAACGAGGGAGGCTTGGGACGAGAATGTGATAAAATGAAGATAGCCGAAAGAAAATAATATGAAGCCAACTCAAGTAGCCAAGCAATATGCTTCAATGTGCAACAATTCCGCAAATGAAACTAAATTGGGGCGCATATGATCTCTGGTTCCAGAATTCCGATGTTTTTTACTCAAAGAAAATATGTAAATGCCGTCATTTATATATCTATTCCGGGTACTCCTTCCTCAAGAATTTGCCCTTACGTGCATTAGACCCTACCCGCAATCAACCCTCTAGAACCAGACAATACATTGCGTGATCGCCTTAGCTCCTCGAACGCATTCATCAGGAACGACCTCCTGTAAACTTATGTACTTGTTTCTAAATGAAAAGGATACCATGAAATATGTTAGGCCACCATATGTGTAACATAATAAAGAAAGATTTCCTTCCTATAAATATAAATGAGTAGAACAACAAATAGATGCAGAATATTGAAATGAGTTAACAGTATAATAGTTTCTATGTGCTCAATCGATCTGGAATATTGAGTCCACCACAATCCAACCATCTAAAGTGTCACAATCATTTTAACATTTGAAGATTTAATGGCCAGATTGTGTGCGGACTAACCTGTAGTCCACACTATTAAATACCATGGAACTTCGAATAAAAAGACAGTAACTCTTACAACGAAAGCGGTGAAGATCAGGTAAACAGCGATAATGCTAAATTCACATGGAAATGGCAAGCTTAGAAAAATCCCGCACAGGTCTCTGCGCAAGGGATTAATTTCCGAAGAGAAGATCGATTGGCTGGCTTTTGGCACTTTGGGTGTGCTATGTTGCCTACAAGCTGTTGCAAGATGCCATGGGCTGACTCTTTGACTTCAAGGAGATTGACTTCTTTGGCTATTTATACATCGTCGGCCCTCTCTCTTTAACTCGTTTCACCATAGTATATTTACCCACACCCCACACCACACCCGATATTCAAACACAATCCATGAAGAACAATACCCTATAAATCCCAACAACTCTCCTATCCTGCTGTAAATAACCCAGCATGTCATCAACCCACATTCAAATCGAAATGGGTGCCTTCACTAATTCGCCAAGGAATTCGGCTTCTTCAACTTTAAGGATATATTTCTACTAGTATAGAGCGAAGATGAGGATGGAGGATGCGGCTTGGAAGAATAGATGATAATTAGATTTTGATGGTGAAGTTATGTACTAGTATGCAATGATAATGAGAGAAAATTGAATCGAACACTGACAGCGACTATGCGTGGAAATAATGACTAGAAAATTGGAAACGAAAGGTGTTCAAGAATAGGAGAGTGGTGCTGGTCTCTGACAGAACTACCTGTGAAGAATCCATCCATCCTATATAGTCAGATCATCAGTTCCCAACCGATGTTGAAAGTTGCGATCAAAGATGTGGCGTTATTCCACTGCAAAAAGACTATGTGGTCCAGCTATTTTATATCCACGGGTACACAAAACTTTTTCCATCCAACTCAACAACCCCCACTACTCCCCGCACTCCCCGCCCACGCATCACGCGTAATTTTCAATCCCCCAGTCCCACACTCAGGAATCACTAATGTCCTATTCCTACTCTCATAAATCGTACCATGTCCGTAATCCTCTTCTCTAACATACGCATAACTAATTGTTTCCCCCGCCGTCAACTCCGTATTTACATACCACAATGGCCACTCGGTCGTATACTTCCCTGCATTCATCGGTAATGCATTATTCAAATCCCATGAACCCAAATCTGTGGTATTGCCAATAACATATATATTTTCTCCGTAATATGTTGTGGCGTTGACGTTGAATTGTACTGCAAATTGACAAGTTGCCGTTACGTTTGGGGCGCCAGCTGCTATGGCAGGGATGTATACACCTTGGCTTGAGGAAGGTGCGCAATTTGGTGGTGGGATAGATGCTGCTGAACTTCCCCAACTAGCGGGATACTGACCAGAACGTCTTTGGGCCATGGTGACAAATGCTGCATAACTCCACGTTAGGTCATTGGCAGAGATGGGTTTCCCGGTATTGTGATCGAATTGTTCGGCTAGAGATCCATTACTAGGTGTATACTTTTGGGCGATTGTGACGAAAGAATCGGCGTATGTTGTTATGGCGTTTGTGATTTTGGTAAATTCGTTATCTTTGTTCGTGTAAATTTTGAGTTTGATGGTTGGGTAAAGATCGCGGAAGAAGTTAATAGAGGTTGAGTCAACAGTGAGGGTCTTGTGATTCTTCCATTGTGCAACAGCATCATAGAGGAACTCTGCCGCAGCAGTGGTGATTAAGTACCTATAAAGTTAGCCGTGAAGTGAAAGATCGAGAGGTATCATACCATGGATTTCCTCCTTGATAAATATCCTCAGCATACCTTCCAACGGCGATACCTGAATTATTCCTAATGCCAGCATTGATACCATATATACCTCGAAAACTATTCACGACAGCCCTAAAATTGGACAGCGCTTCACTACTACAAGGTTGTAAGTTTGGACTATCACAAGATCCATCAATATCGAACACTGAGATCGATCCTAGAATAGAGTTTCCATCCAATCCAGTCCTTCCATTATCGACATTGATATTCGAAATGATATATTCTCCATTCCAAAAACTTTGAGACAGAAAACAAAGGACTTCCGGTGCATTAAGACATCCCGTACATTCTACTCCGAGTCGATTAGCCAAAGTTTGACCTTCAATAAAAGCACGATGTTGATTTTGTATGGTGAAGAAACTTGAGCCGAGAGTTTCTTCCCATAGATCGTAGCCGGTTTCATTCCAATATTGGCCAATGTATGATAAATCATTTGAGATAATAGGCCATATCACCAACTTAGCTCTTTGAAATTGATTGTGACTTATCAACCAATTGCTATAAGCCACCAAAGCAATAGCACGAAGAGCTGGACCATCACGTTGTGGTCTACCCCATGCTAAATATTGTGAGTGGCTTGTCAAAACTCCACTGGGGCTGGTACGTACCACCATTAAATCGGGCACCATCAACTTGATATTTTGGTTCACCAAGGCCAAGACCATTTGGAAGAAAGGTGCCGGAAGGATTTGTAACGGTTTGAAGGATAGCTTGAGCTTTAACATATTTCTCAATCTGAGGTTGAAGAGCACGATTGCCAAAAATGAATTCATCAACGACCATTTTCAAAGTTAAAGCGGAGTCTCGTGTCCAGGTATAAAAATCTGGAATCAATTAGTGTGAACATAACATCTTGGGGGACAAGAACAGCTGCTCTTACAGTCCGGATTGGCCTTGGAAGGACTTGCTACGACATAATTGCCTGCTCCTGATACTTTCGATCCATCTGGTCCAATATTGTTGAGAACACCTTGTAATGCAATCTTTCTTTCGGAGGCAATGAAGGAATTAAGATTACTGTAACTTACAGCTGAATCTCTTAGGTAAATTGCAATTACTTGAGTGAATAGGAGAGGTAGAATCGCAACGACGGAAGAAAACAGCATGATGAAAAGATGTTCAATTGTTCCTCGAGACGAGAGAGAAGAGGAAGTAACAAATACAGTACAACTGAAGGACATGCAGCAATATAAATTACTTGTAAGATTACCTGTACGTTTTCATGCCATGTCACAGATCTCGTGATTGGTTTATACTAACCTCCACCTCCACACGATTTCAGCCAATGTACTCCGGATGAAAAGAACAACACGACGGGTCCGATTATCTTGCCGGGTTACAAGCTTCCGCGGGGAAGGTGCATGCCACTGCATGGTAGCCAAGTCCTTCTTGTATCCGGGGATCTTGCCATGTGAGTCCTAACCCGAGTTTTGGTTGTATCGTACCGTAAACTCTTACCACCTTTTGCTCTTGACATTATTACGGTATAACAGGCAACGAAAACACGACAAATTGTCATTTTGAGTCCAACGACGCCGTCTCGCCACAGCAATACCAAGGCGATAAATGGGGAGCTGAGTTATCGAATATCATCACACATTGGCTGTCTCTGGTTTCTTGATGTAGAAAGTTGGAGGAGATGAGATGAAGTCCCGGTAAATGGTCGGATATCGGACATTGGACATTGGGATGAATTCTTCATCTAGTCACATGACTTTTATCTACTTCCGAAAGTACACTTTGATATTGCACCTGAAAAATCCACTCCTTATATCATCTCTTCAAGTACTCTAACTCCAGAAGAAAACTGATCTTTTCATCAAAATCAGTCCATGATCACCATCACCAAACTACACAATATAAATAACTGCAAGTTCAATGTGAGAGTATACGAAAATAGGAATTTCTATGTACTTCGCTCAGATTATCCCGAGAGGACAGAACAACAAAATGTACAACCCCTCCCTCCATCACTACTATCTATACTCTAGTCGATTTCTATATTTAAGCTTTGCTCATGTACAAAAGAAGTTTGAAAGTCAAAGTGAGTATAAGTCAGCAAACAAAACTAGCTCCTCGCAAAATCGAAGCAAGTAAGTACCCCATTCAAAAACTCCTCACTCCCTTCTTTCCACCTAACAAGTACCATCATAAACCGCCGACCAATCAAGATTAGTGACAATTTGATTTTCATAACCTAATCTAGCAAGTGTTTTCATGCCAGGTATATAATTTGGCCAACCACAATGCAAAATCACCTCATCATCATTCTCAACCGCGCAATCCAACCCTTGATAAGTCAACAAACCCTTCTGACTATCCTTTGCAAAAGTAGCCCAAGCCCCTCTCATATACCTTCCCAATTCAATTTCCTCGGGAGTTGCAGCTGGGATCCCTGGTCCGGTAGGCCAACTCGCAAAAATACTATACACATCCGCAATATGGAAAGCGCCAGCATCAACTCCAATTTGAATTTGTAGATTTGGAAAATTACCAAAATATCGATATCGCCATGTTTTGGCACCGAGTGATGCACTGATATTTGCGCGAGCAGCGGCGGGACAGGCAAAAGTTTGATTGGTGAGGAGAGACCAGTTTTGATTGGGTTTACCGGACATGAGGGTTTGGGATGCGAAGACTTCGGCTTCGTTATCGGTGTTGCCGATTAAGAGGGGGATGGTGGTGACGTTTCCTGCGGCGGATCGAGCTGGGTAGTCGGGAAATACGAGGATGTTGTCGATGGAGGGAAGCCAGGTGTAGAGATGAGCTATCTTGAGGATGGAGGCGGTGGTGAGATTGGGGTTGCGCATACACTGCATGACAGCGTTGGGATCGTAAGAGGAATCTCCACAACCGAGAGTGGTAGAGGTGTTACGCCAGGCTTCAAAGGCTTGAGAGGCGGTTAGGGTGGAGAGAGATGGAATTGTGCCGGATTGCATGATCATGCTGGATGCGATGGGGTTTTGAGGGTAGGCGTATGAGTAGTAGTCTATGGCGCAACTACCTCCTGATTGTCCGAAGAGAGTGATACGGGTTGGATCTCCGCCGAAGTTGGCGATGTTGTCATAGACCCATTCGATTGCTAGACGTTGATCGAGCATTCCGTAATTACTGGTTGGACCTGTTGCATCACCAGAGAAACCGAAAATATTTACACGGTAGCTTTGAATTATTAGTCAAATTGTTTATGATGGGAAGTTGTTTATGATGTATAAAGAGATACTTACTTGATACTAACCATAATAACATCCTCTTCCGCTACAAGAGTGGAACCATCATAGATCGGTACTGAAGTAGATCCATCTCTAAAAGCACCACCATAAATCCAAATCATAACAGCTTTTTTACTCTCACCAACTTGTGGTTTAGCCCAGATGTTTAGTGTCAAACAATCTTCGTTATTTCTGGCTTCATCACCAGCTTGTGCAAATGTACTTAGGATACTAATACCGGAAGGTGTATAATTGCCATGTGTATTTGGAAAATTTACTGGTATAAGTGAGAGAGCATCTGTGAAGAGCTTGGGACAAGTATATCCCTATTGATTTGTTAGATGATTGATTGGGTGAAGACGCCCGAGATCTTACAAAATTTGTGCCATTAATAAATCCAGTACCTGTGTATGGTTGTGGAGGAGCAAATCGTAGATTCCCGATAGGAGGTTGTACGAATGGGATACCAAGATACTCAGAGACAGATGGATTCTTTGCAGATGGGTGACCAGCAACTTCACCACTAGTTGTATTGACACATCTACCAATTCTTGAAGATTCGTAAAGTGAAGAGCATTGTGCCAAGGCGACGGCAATGAAGAAGAAGAGTTGTAGATACTTCATCGTAGAATGAGTCTCTAAAAATCCTAGAGAACTTGAGGATGCTAATGGCGTTGTAGTAAATCTATGTGACAACTATAGGCGTTTTGCTTGTGACAAAATAAAAACGGGCATGGAAAGAAACTGTTGAGTGCAGGAAAGCTTCAAGAATAAGAGCAAATTATATCTCTCATAATGAACGATATTCACTTCACGGTCTTAAGATATAATCTTCTGCTGCTCGGGGTTAACGTTAGGCGGCCGAAATGACCGAAATGGAATATGATAGGAGGTGATTTGGGACGAGAATATGAAGATCAATTGTTGCTAGAATTATATGGGTAGTATAATATATATACAGCGATCCGGTGGTCATTTCCATTCTGTAAGCTTTAGTGGAATTTCGTATGTCTCTACCCAAATGTTAGTCAATTAATTTCCCATATTTTATTGGATATGGAATAAATCAATACCGGTATTCCCAAATAACTTTTCACTCCATGTTAAGCTGCCACATCTTTAGATGATTTATCAGCTAGAAGCATGAAGTATAAGCCGTTCAAGCGAATAATGATTTTAGAAATAGTAAAATTACGTCATAGAAGTACTTGGGTAGCTTAAAGATGTATCATTGGCGGTAAATTACAACAACAGGTCGCGGTATAAACTCCAATAGCAGAGTATCAATGCAATTCTCTGGATTATATATCAATAGGTCCAAATAGATTATGTAAGAAGAAATTACGTACCTGATTGGATCATTATAGTGACACCACCGCCCATAGACACTATACTATATATACTATACTATTCATATCATTGCACTCATATTTCCTAGATGAAGAGCTGGGAGGGGGTGTGGAGGACTACGATATAATTTTTGAATCGACATTAACCACAAAATTCATCAATTGACCGACCCGACCAGATTGACTACTGACTACTACCTAGTCAGATGACGGCAAAGACAGGCCCCGGGTAGGCTGGGGTATAGAAGTATCTTGCTTGGCATCTCCCATCACTTCACTGTGAGGGGTAACATTCAATAATTACCTGCAAGAACCACATTTACAAAAACATAGGTAGGTAAGAAAAGACTCACCATTTCTATTCAGATATCCCTCTATATAAGACTTCTTTAAACCAACATCATGTCTCATCCAAGGATAAATGAGTTCGCGCAAACAAAAGTTAAAGACTTAATCTACCAGACACTTCTGAAAGTGAAAGATATCATCATCTTCTCCAATAATGAAGGATAAGAAAGACTCGAGAAGGATACTACTCATTTGGCTTATTTTTGAACAACGAATTTTGATTTGGATATATATCAAAGTACATATCTTGTTTTCAAACATCAACTGTATAGTTTCGTTCGGACGTATCTAAATCCTATGAATATTTTCGTCCATTATGATAAGCTTCATATAACATTTACTTGGGTCCACTTTGGGTAATAAATGCCTTCTCTATTCAAAATATTGATATAGATATACAATGTTGAGCACAGCGAGGACAACGGTAATAGCAAGATCTAAGTAGATTACCATGGCATTCTAGAAGATATACGACATTGTAAGGACATACCAATGAACGAAACTCTGTCAAGTCATATTCTCGAAATTTTCAAGAATAGAACATTCTCCTGGTCCTTGACTTAAAAATGGTAATAAGTGGTAAACTTCCTCTGGTGAACTTTCTGAGGGCAAGTTTATACTGCAACACTTGAGCAATCCAAATTCGAACATACAGAAGGTTTGATAGGTCATTCGATTGATCCAAAAATTAAATGGTGAAAGGTATTTCCTCCTTTGCCTCATGAATCATTTGCGCGCCGCAATTTAAATACGCATAGTATTGTGACCCAGCTCCGTATCAAACCACCCAAACATTCTGCCCAAACACTCCTCCAAACACAATCGCATGCGCAATATAAAAAACCACCTCAAAACAAATACCGGTACACAAATGCAAACGCCACAAACAAATAAGTACGCAGGTAAAAAGTGTAAAAAATTCAAACTTCAGACGAGGCAACTAACCTACCTACCTACCACCTCACAGCCTCACAACCCAACACCCCGGGCTTGGATCTCGACATGCATCTAGCCGGGGAATATTTGCCACTGGCAGACCGAAAGATTTGGAATGTTGGTACAGTATTTGGATACGATATGCCTAACCATTATTGTAAAGTTCGATTTGGAATGGAGAGGGTTTGCTTCGTTCCTGAATAGTCTCTGGCTTCGCAATGTAAGATAGATAACATGCGGTGTGCCTGACACGTCAGACGTGACTGTGCTTGACTCTTGAGTCTTGAGTAGCTCATCGTGGGCTTGTATTAGTATTCAACTCGTATGAGAAAGACTCACCGTTATTTAGTTTTAGTACTGTACCGAGTATGTATGTCAATTAAGATACCTAGGTAGGTATGTAGGTAGTTCTCTTACCGAATTAGTTCTTGAGTTTTTCTTCTAGCCCCCACATCCACCAGCCACAGACCCATAAGTAACTAAGCCATACCTCTGTTCCTGACCCCATTTTTCTATTTGATTTGTTCAGAACAGAAGTGAAGAGATGATCTACAACCACCTGCAATTCGCATCTGCATCTGCATCTTCTGGACCAGCATCAATGTTTCATCTGTTCGGGACTTCTGACTCGGGTATTTGTATTTGCCACGATGGTAATGCATTCGGTAGTTTCCGGCAGTCGATTTGGGTAGAGTGTGTCACGTGAATATAAAATGATTTGGAAGGAGTGGGATGGGAGGGATGTGAATGAATGAATGGCGATGTGAAAAAGATATGTGAAATGAAGTGGAAGTGGGTAAGTGGACGAAAAGTTCAGTAGTGAGTTTGTGGCTGTGTAGAACTAACCATGCTAGTGGGACTGATGTTTCGATTCGATCTGTGTGTCCCCGCATTGATGGAAACAGAAACTGCTGTTGGTGATTGGTTTTTTCGATATAGAATCTTCATATCATAGAGTTTGATTTGAGATCTGGGTGTTTTGTGTGTTGTGTGCTGAAACTTGGGACTTTGTTAAGTGATGGTCTTTATATACTAATATTGATGTTGATATTGATTATAGAGAAATCATAGACTTTTACTCAACTAGAAGAGGGTCACAAACTCAATTTCGGAAAATAAGTGCAGTACATATTATGCCAACCTGCCACCCTAGTAACTACTACTCAAATTATTATATGGGGATGTTAAGGGGTAAAATAAGGTCGTCGTCATCGAGCAGGGCGCTTGTTTATGATTTGAGAGATTTGATTGATGTGATTGAAGATTGAAGATTGAAAGAAGATTGATTGGAAAAGATGAGGTGAGGTGGAATGTATGTATGCATGTATATGTTACACGAGGACAAGCGGGATGTCTACCAGTGTAATTCATAGAAGCTTGATTGGAATCAAGATTATTGAAGCTTCTGTTGCTAGGGCGCTAAGGGTGAAGTTACAGTATACTAGTAGTATCTATCTGACTGTCGAATTCTGGTTTTCTTGTTAATCTTCCTTGATTTTAAGGGGTCGTTGTACTACCGGTATATATCACAAAGTATAGAATAGAATGAGTAAATAGTAAATAGTAAATAATAAATGAATACAATACTTGAATGATTCAGATATACTACATCACACCGTAATTCCAGTCATAATCCGAATATCACAAATAACATTATCTATCTATCATATCACATCGCATTGGTGCCACGAATATTTAATAAAGACAACAAACCTTCAGCGATCATTAGACAAAACTTGACGATCCCTCTCTCATCAACCTCATCTCCAAACCATTTATGATAACATCATCATAACAAAACTAAAAACTTGTTGAGATCGAGATAGGAAGAACATAGAAAAAGGAAGAGAAGCCAAAAAAGGAGACTTGCCAAGACTTCAACTCTATACATTTCAACCATCTTTTTTCCCTTTACAACAACAACCATTAACCATACATACAATAACCTCGATACCTCATCTTCCCAACATCCATTTTTTACATCAGATTAAACCCCTCAGCCTTCTATTAACCCAAATCAACCTAATACCGAGTACTAGATAACTACTAGGAACGTTCATCAGCCACACTTAGCATCAACAACACCTCGCAAAAGGCCTCGTAAACTCGAGATCAATATTCAACCTTCAATATCACTGCTGAGCCACTCTTCTACAATTCAAAGCGAAAAGGAATAACCAACTTCTAAGGCGTTTTATCATCACAAACAACTTTTATCATCACCAAGAATTATCAGATTTCAATTCTCTTACTCCCTGGTCCTGGTCGCACTACTCAATATAATCTCCATCCATACTCGAATAATCCTAGTCTTACTACAAGTACCACCAAAAGTACACGGACGACGGATTGGAACATCTGAACCCTTTAATTCCAATCCAACGAAATCACCTCCTCTCAGATCATCGCCTCACTTCAAAAAGAAAAGAAAAAAAGACTTGTGTTACTTTTACTTGTCTTTCGAAGTTTTCACATTGAAATTGAAGCGCTCTTGGTCGGCAGGAATAACTCATCAGTATAACTTACTTGACACTGCCTTATCTGACCTACCAAACGGACCACACACCTTCTTATACCAGACCAGATCCACCTAAGAAGGACAAGTTTCGTATCCGTCAAAAGCCGTTCATCAACAACTTGAAATTATAAAACATGGCTCCAAACGACTACAATCTTTGTTAGTTAATTCTCTCTTCTCACAAAATACTCTTTTTTATCAATGATTTTTATCTATTTCTTTTGATTTTAATATATAATTATTGATGGGTGATACTTACTATTATGTTCAATATAGATACTACAAAACGAGCGGCACGACAAGAAGCATGGCATGGTCCAGGAACAGAATGGAACCCTTTTGCGAAGACAACAAGACGCAGTAGTACATTTCCAGCTCAGATTCGCGATGAGGAGGCTCTAAGAGGATTGGACGAACCCGAATTAAGGACTATAAATACTGAGAATGGACCACGATCATCAGCTAGCAATGCAGCATTTGGTCATGGTGTAATGGAGATGCAGGATCTGGATAAGACTACCACAAACAATAATGGACCTCCCAGCGATCCAAGTACCGAAGAAACAATTGTTGGAAGGCAATCATCGAGAATACCCAGTGTAGAGGAGAAGGCTCGATCAAGGTTTCTAAGCAGATGGACCAAGAAGGATAGGAAACAGGTAGATGGCGAAGAGAAGAAGAAGAAGAAAGGTGGAATATTTAGTGGAAAGGATTTGAAGCATGCACCTTTCACCTTGAGGAATCAATTGAAGAATACCATCTTCAATTCCTGGATCAACATTTTACTCATCGCTGCGCCGGTCGGAATCGCTCTCAACTTTACTGAGGTTAATGGAATTGTGGTTTTCGTGGTCAACTTTATTGCTATCATACCATTGGCAGCTATGTTGAGTTTTGCCACTGAGGAAATTGCTCTTCATGTAGGTGAAAGTTTAGGAGGTTTGCTGAATGCTTCTTTCGGGTATGTATCACGCATCAAGCTGGTTAGTCTCTACTAACATTGATCAGAAATGCTGTTGAGATGATTGTTGCAATCATTGCGCTAGCCAAGGGACAAGTCATCATTGTCCAAACCTCTTTGGTCGGCAGTATTTTATCGAATTTATTACTCGTCTTGGGAATGTGTTTCTTCTTTGGAGGACTCAGAAGAGAAGAACAATTTTTCAATAAAACAGTTGCTCAAACAGCTGCAAGTTTGTTAGCCGTCGCTGTCGCCAGTGTCATTGTTCCCACCGCTTTCGATTTATGGAGTGAGACAACTGAAGCTCCAATTGCGGCCATTTCTCGCGGTACTTCGATCATTCTTCTTGTGGTATACGCCGGCTACCTTTACTTCCAATTACATACCCACTCTGGACTATTCAACGAGGAAAGTCAAAAGGTACCAATGAGGCCACGCAAGAATGCCTTACCGGAAGGTGCCATCGCAAAAGGTTTGGCCAAGGCTGGAGGAATTGGAGCAGGACCTGGACGAGCGAATATCCCGCAACGACCACCTTATGACGAACTCATCAATTCATCTGCACTCGAAGAGGAGGAAGAGGAAGCAGAAGAACCACAATTGCATATCTTGGTCGCTTGGGCTACCCTTGCAGGTTCCACTGCTATCATCGGAGTCTGCGCTGATTTCATGGTTGATGGTATTAGCGCACTTACTGATAGTAAAGTCATCTCTGAGGAATTTGTTGGTCTTATTCTCCTTCCTATCGTCGGAAATGCTGCAGAGCACGCCACCGCAGTCACGGTTGCCTGCAAGGATAAGATGGATCTTGCGATTGGTGTCGCGGTTGGATCTAGTATGCAAGTCGCCTTGTTCCTCATTCCTTTACTGGTTGTCATCGGATGGATCATGGGTAATGATGCAATGAACTTGAGTTTCGATGGTTTCCAGGTCGCTGTTCTATTTGTCGCTGTTTTACTTGTGAATTATGTTCTTGCAGATGGTCGGAGCAATTGGATGGAAGGCATGCTTTTACAATGTCTTTACGTGTAAGTTTATGTTTCCCCCCCTCTCGATATCTTTTTACTGATATTCAATAGAATCATTGCAGTATGTGCTTGGTACTACCCAGCAACAGGTGTCGCCTAAATAAAGATATATTGAAAACTCGAAGACTATACGTTTAGCTTGTTTAGCGCGAGTTGGAGCTAATGTTTCTTTCGTGTATCGAAGTCCGACATTTTTGAGCCAACTCAAACCTGTCAAATTTCGATTTTAAATCAGACCATCGTCTAAAAACCAACAGTCACAATCACATCAGCCTTTGATTGTTTACAGCACCCACAAATTCAATATTTAATGTTTATGCCATTCGTTCCTCGTTACCTTTTTTTGCAGTTTTACGGATTTTCGGTAGCCGACCGCGATATACCGGTTGTATCATATGAATACCACTTTTTACGCATGTACATATCCAGCCAAATCAGGGGCGTTTTTCCTTTAGAAAGAATATCTGCTTGTCTGCCACCAGATAGTGTGCCACCCACCAGATAGAAGGGAGTTTTGGGAGTTGTATTCTCTATTTTTGTTGTGGTTTTTTTTTTGAGAACTTAAAGGGAGAAGGGAGAGATGGAATGGAATGGATACCAATATAAAATTTGTGAGGGAAATTTTTGTGGGAAATGTGTAAGGAGATGCAAGGAGATATAAGGAGACGCGAGGAGAAAGTTTATAGATGTTAGATGTTAGAGCATTTTCGTAGATAAAAATGATGAATTAAATATATATATATATATTATGTTATATTTTACTGAGTAGTGGGATATCAAATGATTTGTTTCGGTTGTGCCAGTGTATAGAGTACGAGTAGAACAGATATATGTGAATTGAATATACGAGTAGATGCAGATGCAGATGCGGATGCGGATGCAAATATTCTAATATATCTATCTAATGGATGTGAATTGGGAGTGGAGATGGGGATGAGGCGGGGATGAGATGGGGATGAGGTGGAATGGAGATAGAGATGGAGATAGAGATGAGTGGTATTAAGGGGTGGGATGGAGATGTAGACGGAGATGAGTGGGTTGGATAGATAAATAGAATAG